TCTATCTATCTATCTGTCTGTCTGTCTGTCTATCTATCTATCTATCTATCTAATCTGTCTGTCCATCTATCTATCTATCTATCTGTCTGTCTGTCTGTCTGTCTATCTATCTATCTATCTATCTATCTAACTATCTATGGTTCTACAGCCCTTGTAGACCTTGGCCGGTTTTTCGGCTTCTTTATCTATACACAATCGGTAGAACTCATTGGACGGGGGATCAGCCCATCGCAAGGCCACTACCGACACACAGAATAACATAGACACATAATAAACGCAAACAGACATCCATGGCTCGATTGGAATTTGAACCCACGATCCTAGTGTTCGAGAGAGCCAAGACGGTTCATGCCTTAGACCGCGCGGCCACTGCGATCACCTTTGAAACCTCTTAACTGTTAGATACAAAGAAAATTAGGAGGAAATATCCAGATGACGCCCTGAGACGTCAATTTATCCAGGAACCGATTCGTGCTCATTAACCTTGGTGTTAATTAGCGGATTTGTTGATTAATGTCAAATTGTAAGATTCGTGAACGGCTGCTTAAAAGTGCCTCACAATTTGGTTTTTTGATTGAGTGACAGCATTTGAAGAAGTAATTCTTTGGTGATGAGAGAAAGGGGTTTAATAAAGACTAATATATCATGATGGCTGCACGAGTAGCACGCGGTAGCAGCTGGCCTACCACAATACATTCAGGATACGCGCTAATTTCTGGCCAGGAGTCAGGCAACTAAACAGTATAGGTAACCCCAAAGTTATTCTGTTACCTTTTCTTTTAGAATGATAATACAACCCCGGTATGACTGAGGAAAACTAGGAAACTTCTGTAAGGGTAACTATCGCTGATACCTCAGCCGGCCGTCTGTAGATGAGTAGGCGAAAGTGGAAAGTCCTGGAAAACTTGAGAGACACTTTATTGTGGAGTGAGAGAAAGAGCGTTATTTTGTTAGAAGTTTCACAGGCTTCGCCCGCTCGTCCTTCAGACACGAGTACAGTGAAACTGGGTGTGACACTTCACAGCTTCTATCGAGGAAGACGAGGACCTAGGGAAACCTGCAAAGCGTTCTACATGTTGCACACGGAGGACACACACCTCGAAGAAATGTTTAATCTTTTATTTGCTTTGACAAAGGACGCAGGCCTCGGGAAAACTTTACAGATTTCTGTACTGCATTCACAGACAATGTAATTACCGTGCCTGACAGATGGTGTTAATGTCAAACAACGTCAATGCATCATTCGCGCAACACATTTTCTATAAATATGAACACCTTTGAGCAATGTTTACATAACTGCTTTCATATTGCCATGTGACGGAGTGATAATAGACTGGGTTTGGAGTGGCCGTTCGATTGATTGAACTCTTGCGGATCTGTGACTACACGTAATTATAAACGTTTCACTAATTCACACACTTTACAGTTCACTAGGGCACAAATTTAAGTCTTCTCAGCCTGTTGTGTATTGATCAGTCATTATCTGGTAACGGCTTCCAACGGAGGACGTTTCCTTTCCTCTGGGTTCCCGAAATGTCCCCGGCCTCATCTACAACAACTCTCGACTAACAAACTAACTCAGTCACTCACCAACGAACGCGAATAAACTCAACTGACATAAATTTCAAAGTAAAAGTCACATTGCGACTTACATTTATTACTGTTTGACAGTTATCGTCCTGTTTGTTATGGGGCGCCCTCTCTAACGAGAGGACGGGTCGATCTTTTACATACGCTGCTGGTCTTTGCCAGCGCAGTCTTTCTCGGGTCCGAGTCCCTTGTGACTCGCGACCATATTTTACCGTCTCAGATTTGAGACTTCCCTTTTCGTTGCCTCCTACAACTGACAGGGTCACAGTGGAGGTATTCGACCCCGCCTCCACACGGGTAATGTCTGATATAAATGCTCCCTAACTGTCCTGCTTATAACATTTCGACACGGATCACACAGAGAACGACGTTTTTCATTATTGTTGTATTCCATTGTTGATGTAGAAACATGTTTGTTTTCGAAGCTGTTGCTCAGTAACAGCTCTCTGCTGGCTTCACAATTCTTGCTACGATATAAAACAAAGGGAAGAAGAAAGGGCGGATAAAATAATGGGAAAGGTATATGGAAGAAGGGAGAGAAGGAAGTAAAGAAAGGAAATGAAGGGAATGGCGAAGAATGAATCTATCGGTATTAAAAAATCTGCGAATGAAGTCACGGTCACGTGAAAAAACGTTGTGAGACTCTTGCGTGGGTTATCCCAATCCACGCATGAAAACACCGAGGAACACCTCACGGTCGCCCCATTCAACACCACTCACAAATGCGTGCTTATGACGTAGCCGCATAAATTCTTTTCACGCAAAATTCCATTTGCTATCGCTAAACACAGCGCAGGCGTTAGCTTCTTCCTAAGTAGCCCATAAAAATATACCTTAACATAAGTCTACATATATTTCGTATGCATATTACGACATATACTTCGAGGACCCTGCACTAAGTCCAGTTAGTGTAAGCTCCCCCTTACAATTTCGTGCACTAACCGTGTTATCTCTTTGTATTTTTTTCAGCTTTGTTACCATTTTCTTCTGTATTATTATATTTTTATTATTATTTGGCCGTCAACATAAAAATTTCATAATAAATTAACCCATATTACTGCATTAGCATTTGTGTATTATTGTGACGTGTGTATCCATTGCTTTCACGGCTTTGGAAAACTTGGAAACTGAGGTGGATCTTAATAAAGCTTGGAAACTAGTACTTACTTACTTAATCATGGAGCTGGCCGCACCATAGCTCAAGCGGTTAGTCGCTGGCTTCCCACCGCGGCGGCCCGGGTTCGGTCCCGGGTCTGGTCAAGTGGGATTTGTGGTGGACAAAGTGGCGATGGGGTAGGTTTTCTCCGAGTACTTCGGTTTCCCCTGCCAATCTTCATTCCACCAATTGCTTCACAATCACTCTCACCTATCATCTTGGGCTGGTACAATAGGCCAGAAGTGGCCGCAGTACAAGGGACAGAGTCCCACCCCACTAGCAATAAAAAAAATATTCATGGAGCTCAGCCCTTCTGGAGGAGCCGCCAATTCAGCAGTTACTCAAGAATTTCCCAGCATCTTTTATGGAACCCGAAGTTTCATTACCGTGTTCACAAGAGCCCTCCACTGGTCCCTATCTTGAGCCAGATCTATGCAGTCATAACATCCCATCCTATCTCTTTAAGATCCATTGTAATATTGTCCACCCACCGACGCCTTGGTCTTCCCTGTGGTTTCTTTCCTTCTGTCTTTCCAACCAATATCTTATATGCATTCCCCATCTCCACCATTCGTGCTACATACCCTGCCCACATCGTTCTCCTTGACTTGATCATTCTAATTATACTTGGAAGTACAAGTTATGATGCTCCTCATAATGTAGATTTCTCCAACCTCCTGTCAGTTCATCCCTCTTCGGTCCAAATATTCTCCTCAACGCCCTGTTCTAAAACACTCTCAGTCTACAGGTATGTTCCTCCCTTAATGTCAGAGACCAAGTTTCACACCCATACAGAACCATAGGCAAAATTATAGTCACATGTCACATGTTCGCTATCCAGCCCGTATTGGTTCGCTGGCTGGACCTACAGAAAACTTATCACGTGAACTTTGCCCACTCTTGCGTGACATCACCGCGGACACAAAAAGAAACACTACTCCAGTATTGTTGGCCGTGTTGGTGTTGCGGGCTTTCCCTAGCAACGGATTTTCATGTCACAGTACGTTACAGATATGTAACGAAATGTAAACAGAAATTATTTCTAATTCTGTGCAGTGTGATTGAGTTAGACAAATTAGATTTATATCCGCAATACACAAACCATATAAAGCTGACAAGTTGTCAAAAATTCAAAGAATAATTTTTAGTCATCATTTACTAGTTCTAGCCTGTTTACATTCGTGTTGCAGCCTTGTTGTACCGTGCCCCAGAGCTCCTCCGCGCCAACCAGTTGGACCCACTGTGCGCTGTGACAGGCACCCAGAAGGGCGACGTGTACTCATTCGCCATTATCCTGTATGAGTTGCATGCCAGGCACGGACCGTTTGGGGATGCTGACATCCCCCCCACCGAGATCCTGCTGCGGGTGGTTCGCCCTGAACCAGGACAGGTCCCCTTCAGGTTTGCTGAACTGTTATGGCTGCAGTTACATTTCAGCACCAGGCTAAGCCTACCCTCACCCCACTGTCCTGAGACATTGCTACTTTCTTTCCGTCTAACATAACTTTCTCCTTTTTGCTTTCTTTGGAGCAACTACTTATTTTTAAATATTTTGTAGAACAGTGACAGGTGTTACGAAATGGGATGTCATTGTCTTTATTATTTTAAATATAATGCCACCTGTTACGGTTGTGATTATTAGACGGGGTTTGGATTGGATGATTGGATTTATTGCACTTATTCACTAAACTCATAAGGTCGCATCCTGGCAACGGATTTCAACACAGTAGTTATACCAGTCTCACTGTTACTACAGCACACATAAAGTCTTCAAATCACACGCTAAGCCTTCTCTTCACAGGCTGACTTTCAAGTATGAACTGAACTCGTTGCCATCTCGTCACAAATCAGCTCAAGAGACACCCGGAATTATTCTTTCAGCTGGCCTGGCATGCTCGTTATATAGACACGGAACGAACCCACAGAAAACACCGTTTCCATCGTTATAGCGCAACAATACCTTGATTGCTGCTTGCTTCTCATTTGCTGCGGGAACCTGTTCACCGAGTCGCTAGCTAGCAATGAACATCTACTCTGGCTTTCAAGCGTCATTTCATAATTATTTCAGTTATGAAAATTTTTATTTTAATTTTATTTACAATACCAGTACTGTTGTTTTAACTTTTCTTCAATTCTACTTCAGTAAATCCAAAGAAATTTCAAACTTTATTACATTTACGTTGGACTTAATTTTCCCACGGCAGTGGATATAAAGAATTCAATCTTCCAATATTTAATGTCACACAGTGCACTGAAACTCAACCGACGTTTCAGAATAACTAATAAGAATAAGCTAAGGAACCAAGCAACAAGAAGAGTCTCTACTTGCTGGCTCCTTAATGCTAATTTCTTACGTCTTTTCCTCTTCAACCCTGAAGATGAAGGCTAGTATGTTCCTCCAGTATGTTGGTTGACTTTCTCTGGACGACATGGAGTTACATCTCAGAATACAGACGTCTTATTATATTCTATACATCTGAGATATAAAACAAATCGAATTTGGCCATTGATACCAACACAGAATGATAAAGCAGATATGTATCGAAGTAGAGAGTATTCGTTATTCAGTTAATTTAACACAGTTGTCTGAGACTGTACCCCGTTTACCACCTGATTGTTCCAGCATGCAGTCTCTTGCATGTTTTTATATCCAAAGTTGCTTTACATTTTCTTTACTACTTCCAATTTTCTATTTTTCCCCCAACTTCTTATCTCACTTCCGTTCAACTCTACGTAAATATTTTTGCATATATCTTATATGTGTTCTGCTTGCATAGTTTCTTTTCTTTGGTACTCTAATTCTTCTTCATGCTTAGCCACATTTGACATAAAAATATATGTCCTCCATTTCTTGGCCTCCAGACAACGAAGCACTTCGTGTCTTCCTTTCCTAAGAATGGAGAACAACTTCCTTTATCTGTTCCCCTTCCTGTTTCTCTTAGTTAGCAAATCCCTGCTTTCATCCGTGCTGTACCATTTCTTTGATTTCTGGAACACCATTCTGTACATTCTTCTTCATCTCGTATATAAAGAGGGTAAAATCCGATCTTGTAAAGGAAATCTTACTTTCAGTAATCTGTTTTCGTTGGTTCCTATGTCCTCTTGTCTTCTGTCTAAAAACGTAAAAATTAGAATATACAAAACTATAATTTTCCCTGTGATTTTGTATAAATATGAGACTGAGAGTGTCTGAGGAGAATATTTGGACTGAAGAGAGATGAACTGATAGGAGGTTGGAGGAAACTGCGTAATGAAGAGCTTCATAACTTGTACTCTTCGCCAGGTACAATTAGAATGATAAATCAAGGAGGATGAGATGGGCAGGGAATGTAGAGCGATTGGGGGAGAAGAGCAATGCATATAGTATATTGGTGGTAAAGCCATAAGGAAGGAAACCACCAGGAAAACCTAGACTTAGGTGGGTGGATAATATTATAACGGATCTGAGAGAGATAGGATGGGGTGGTATGGACCGGATCGATCTGGCTCAGGATAGGAACCAGTGGATGGCTTTTGTGAACACGGTAATGAGGGTTTGTGTTAAATAAAATGTCTTGGAAACTCATGAGTAACTGCACAACTGGCGGCTTTTCATGAAGGGCTCAGCTCCATGAAGATAGTTAGTTAGTTAGTTAGTTAGTTAGTTAGTTAGTTATGCGGCCTCCGTAGTCTAGAGGTAACGTTCCCACCTCATGACTCGTGGTACGCGGGTTCAAATATCCGGCGGAGGTCGTCGAATTTTTAAGGGCGGAAGAATTCAGGGAACTAGTCCTCCGGGAGGGACTTTAAGCTATGTGTCCCGTGTCGTAACTTTACGGCACGTAAAAGAACCTCATATCCCCAAAGGGGATCACTGAGCCAAATTCCAGGACGTTTCCCGCCCAACAATAATCTCTAAGGCCTCTGATAGATGGGGGAAGCATTATAGACACCGCTAAGCAAGTGGCCAACCTCGCTTGCTCGGCGGGTCTGATGGTACGCACCATTTATCGGTAGGGTATAGAGACTGGTAGAATATCATAGAGGGAAGCACAATAATCAAACTGGTCGCGGTACATGGGGAAACCCACCCTCACTAGTTAGTTAGTTAGTTAGTTAGTTAGTTAGTTGGGCCATAGCTAAAGCGGTTAGTCGCTGGCTTCCCCCCGCGGCGACCTGGGTTCGATCCCAGGTCTGGTCAAGTGGGATTTGTGGCGGACAAAGTGGCGCTGGGGTAGGTTTTCTCCGAGTACTTCGGTTTCCCCTGGCTATCTTCATTCCACCAATTGCTCCACAATCACCCTCACCTATCATCTGATGCTGGTACAATAGGCCAGAAGTGGCCGAAGTACAAGGGACTTAGTCCCATCCCACTAGCAAAAAAAAAATAGTTAACTTCGGATGGAAAGCTGAATGAATGAATTTGAAAGGATTTTTGAGAAAGTAATCAGGCACTAATTGAGGTACTATCCTGAAATCTTTATGGAGGCACTGAAGAACACCACGGAGAACCTCAGTCATAATAGTAAGTTATCCGGCTTAAATTGGATCCAAGCACCCCTCGAATACAAGTCTAGAGCAGTGAGTCTCAACCATAGGGAGAATGCAACCCGGTAAATTCTTTTTTTATATGGCGAGGGCCCGGTAACGGACCGCGGTCCGGCGGTTGAGAAACACTTGGCTTGAATACTATCACAACGCCAACAACTTGCTCAGTGCCTTTCCCTTATTATTAATGTCCCACTAAGATGAGTGCGCAGTTTTCACATGCACAGTTATGCCTGACACTCTGCAGACTTTAACACTTCTGATATTTAGTTTGTCACGTGAGGTTCTTACATTTCACTCTGCGCCCCTCAAACTCGTAACGTGAGACTGTACACGCAGGCCTCAACTGGAGCTGCTGGAGAACAGTTTCGACTTTGTTCGTGATTGTCTCGTTGAGTGCTGGGCCGAGAATCCGGAAGACCGACCAGACTTCAAGACAATCCGGGCCAAGCTGCGCCCCCTGAGGAAGGGAATGTGAGTACTTTCACTACATCTGAAGCAATTGATCTATCAGACTTACACAGCTCAGTGAAATGTATTTCGGACTTTCCTGTGACAGAGATAAGTGCGGCGGCGCGTAGAGCTGACAACCTCACCACCATCTGTGAGCCGATTGTCTAGAAAATATGACAGCCTCGACGTCTCACAACCCTATGGGCCAACACGCCCTGTTACAGGGATAGCTTTACCTTTTTTATAGGGTAGGCTTCCAAAAACCATAAACTTTTAAAATATAACTTAAGATGTTTGAATACTATTAATTTTATACCAAAAGAATTTTCATATGATATTTTGCATAAAATCCCAAGATACCGTTACTGTGCCAGAATGTTCTTGTTGAATATGCCATAACTCAGGTGTTTTTTTTTTCTATTCTTTTCTTTATTGCTAGTGGGGTGGGACTAAGTCCCTTGGACTGCGGCCACTTCTGGCCTATTGTACCAGCCCCAGACGATAGGTGAGGGTGATTGTGGAGCAATTGGTGGAATGAAGATTGGCAGGGGAAACCGAAGTAAAAGTAAAAGTAAAAAGTAAAGCTATCCCTGTAACAGGCCATGAAGACCCATAGGGTTGTGAGACGTTGAGGGTCCCACATTATCTAGACAATCGGCTCAAAGATGGCGGTAAAGTTGTCAGCCTTACGCCCCGGCCGCGCTTTAGTCCCCAGGAAAATTATTTATTTAATTCCTGGTACTCATTTCTGTCAGAGGCTGAGTGAACATCCTCGGAGAAAACCTGGCCCAACGCCACTTTGTCCACCACAAATCCCACTTGATCAGACCCGGGATCAAATCCGGGCCGCCGCAGTGGGAAGCCAGCGACTAACCGCTTGAGCTATGGCGCGGCCAACTCAGGTGGTTAGTCATCGGCTTATTAATGTGGCAGCCACACCAGTAATATTTGCAGTAGTAACAGCTTTGCTGAGTACCTTAGATCAGTCACCTAGCCAAACTTAATGGATATTTTGTATTTAAAGTACCTTACATTCAGTTATTCAATACAACTTTATGGATATTTCATACGTAAAGTATCTTACATTCATTTGTTCAAGTTACTTACAATTACTTTGGAATTGAAGCACTGTATATAGATATTTTTGATATAAAGTAATTTATAATAATAAATCAACAAGACTAAGGTTTTATATGTTCTTGGTATGAAGTATTTTACATTCAGTCATTTTGCCCAATCTAATAGATAATTTAGATGTTACTAAATGTTGTAACATTTATGTTGTGAATATTCTGAATACAAACTTCTTTACATTTATTCATTCAGCCTAATTTTATGGAAATTTTGCATAAAAATACCAGTAATAAAAACATTATTCTGTCAATGTGTGTGTATTAATACACACCTGTAATCAGACATAGGTTAATTCACACACACATAGAGCCTACATACAGACATGCACATGCCTCCTTCTGAGTTGTCTGCAGTAAAGTTAATATAACTCTTAAAGTCATTTCAGAAATTACCATATTTGCTTCTAGGAAACCCAACATTTTTGACAATATGATGGCAATGATGGAGAAGTATGCAAACAACTTAGAAGCTCTAGTCGATGAACGGACAGACCAACTGGTTGAGGAGAAAAAAAAGACAGGTAATGTTACTGCACTCACCAAAACTTCTGTCTGAAACTTGTGATGTGTTTACATAATATGGAGACTGAGCACTGTTTGGAACATCAGACACAGCCCTTCACCAAATAGAAGAACTAAAAGTGTGTGGGTCAAATGTGACTCTTTCATACCAAACATGTTAATGTAGGGGTAAAACTATAGAATTTTATATGAAAAGTATCAATTCAAATCTTAGCCTGGTTAACTGATAATTTCCATGGTCCTCCTTGAATTCTGCACATGAATCCTCCTGGAATAGTGACCATGATATCCTTCTGCCAAATCTTTACCAACTCACCATTCATGATTTACCTTGTTTATCAATTACTGTAATATAAAATCAATACAGCTGAAACAGTCATGAAATTTGCTTATGAATCACTCATAAACATATATGTCTATCTTGTGAGTTTTATATTCCTTGAGCATCAGCATATTTTCCATTATACTTGTTAAACAAGTAGAGAAAGCACAAGCATTTTCTTTGTATATAACTCAGATAAAGTTATACCATTTGTGTTTGGCACTATAATCAATCAGACTGAATCCTTGTGCTTCTCATGTACATTAGGTAAAAAAAATTATTCCCCACATCCAGTCACCACACCATGAAGGAGTGGGCCCCAAATTAGGTGCAGATATAAAGCTTTGTGCCTTGCAGACCCCGAAACTAGAAGAAGTTTAATGGCAGAATGATGCTCAGGCCACTTTGTCATAGATGTAAGAGCACTGTGTACCTACTATATATGAGATAAGGTAAGCCCTGTGAAGTGAAATTCCTGCCTTATGGTGGTAATAGACTCAAGGTCATTCACTCCCAGTCAGTAATCGGTCACTGTACTTGTTGAAACTCTTCGGTTCACACCATATGGAAGCATGTAAAATGTTAGTTTCAAAATTTCAGGAAGTATTACAACACATAAAAAAACATAAGCCTATATCCATTCCAAAGTATGTCATATTGTGTCCACTAAATATTGAAATGAACAGGCTGCATATATACGACTCATATTTTTTGTTTTGTTTATATCAGAATTACAAAATTTAGTATAATATTACTTTTTTATATTGATTATGATATATTGATTACTTAATTGTTAACATGGTTAGACAGCCATATTTTTTATTGCCAGTGGGGTGGGACTAAGTCCCTTGTACTGCAGCCACTTCTGGCCTATTTTACCACCCCCAGATGATAGGTGAGGGTGATTGTAGAGCAATTGGTGGAATGAAGATTGGCAGGGGAAACCGAAGTACTCAGAGAAAACTTGCCCCAGCGCCACTTTGTCCACCACAAATCCCACTTGACCACACCCGGGATCGAACCTGGGCCACTGCGGTGGGAAGCCAGCAACTAACTGCTTGAGCTATGGTGCGGCCCTAGGCAGCCATGTTAAGTCCAGTCTTAAGGAGAGCAAAGCTGATGAGGGCATAGAACTGCATGAAAGTAAACCCAGAACAGAAGGGTTGAATCACCTCCACCTTGCAAGGACTGTATTACTCAGGCCATTAATGAACTCTCAGGAGCAAGAGCCAAGATGATTCTGAAGTACTGGGGCTATATTATTTTTTTTTCTTTCAGAAATAACCAAACATTGAGGGGCATAGTAAATGCCATCCATGAATCATACAGACATACACAATATTAATTACAAATTAAAAATACAGTCAACATATATTTAGCTCAATATTTTATGTGCATATTGCCAGTGGTTCCCAAAGTTTCTGATATTAACCCCCTTCTTTTGATTTTCACCAAAATTGCATGCCCTAAATTTTTATTGAAATAAATGTAATTCTGTGTACCTTTGTTTATATTATTGCCTAAAATCACCTAAGTATAAATTAGTACCATGCCAGAACTGAGAATAAAAAGATGAAATTCCTAAAATGGAAGTGCTTCATGGTGCTCTTCCTTTGGTGATTGATAATGGTGAAAATGATGAAATATGTGTATTATCACTTTTTTTGTAATATCTGGATTAACATTTCTGCTGGCTGCTTATGGAAGAGCTAATTGAATGCACCTAAAGAGTTATTTCAGCTGAACTTGACATTAAAAATATGTCTTTTCTCATGGTCCCACATCACCCCACTCCCAACACAAACCTGTTCATGCCCCTCCTCCCAGTTAGGAAACCAGTAGTTTAAGCAAATAACTCAAAGAATTTGCTGGCACTTTACATGGAGACATAATCTATGTAAAAGCGATGAAGTGGGAATAAAGAATGTTAATATGAGGACTATATCTCTTTACTTGCTTATGCTGTTGTTGAGATGTTAGATCTGTGACATTAAGACTGACTGGACACTTATAGATTGAAAGAGAAATACATTCAACGCTTTGGCTGGGGACTTCTTGCAGAATAGCAAAATTATAGAGAAAGATAATATTAAAAGGGCCTGAAACAGCAGGTGACAGGTTAACACATCTGTTTTTTATTGAGGAGGTTTAGTTCGTGACCCACACACTGGACGTTCCAACTGAGGAATTTGTTTCTGTAGTTAAGTAACATCATATGCAGTAGAGAGAGGGTTTTTAACTAGTCTGAGAAGTCAAGGTAAATGTACATCTGTCTTTCAACCGCTATACAAGGAAGACTTGTGGGGAAGGTGGGACAAATTTCAATACTTTCTTTAGCTGAACACTAAGGGAGTTAAGTAGCCAGCTACAGCCGTCTGTCTGCATATTCATTGGGAAGGAGCCCAATAGCTAATGAATAATGGGCAGTGTGGGCTCCAGAGCCACCTGGGTATGGTAGAGAAAGAAATTCTGCCCACGCTGAAAATCAGAAACTCGTCACCCAGCACATAACTACTCAGTTCAATAACTTAGTTATCCTGATTCAGCACATTAGCACACATAACAAGTAAAAGGGTATGGCAAGACATGAACAAATAAACGTTATAAGAGACTTGTATGACCCTCTGTCATATGACATGACCCTCTGCAATATATCAGACAAGATACAAAAATCTATAATTATGTTCATCATTGGTGCCTGCATCATATTAGTTTAACATCTGAATATTTTATGATTGCATCAGGTTTAAACAACTCATATAAAATGGATGTGTTTCTTTTGGGACCATTTACACAGCAATTAGGAGGTTAAGGTTCAATAAATGACAGGGACATGTGTGTCAACATACATATCGATTTATTAAATGGCTATCATTGTATATGTTTCGGTCCTATGACCATGGAACTTTGTCAGGCATGTATGAATAAACAAATGCAACAGCACTCAGCTGAAATACATGGTGCAATGTGTCCATTTCTTACTTACTTACTTATGGAGCTGAGCCCTTCTTGAAAAGAAGCCAAATCTGCAGCTACTCAAGAATTTCCCAGTATTTTATAGAACCCAAAGGTTCATTACCATGTACACAAGAGCCATCCACTGGTCCCTATCCTGAGCCAGATCAATTCAATCCATACCATCACGTCCTATCTCTCTAAGATCCATTTTAATATTGTCCAACCACCTACAACTTGGTCTTCCCTTTGGTCTCTATCCTTTTGGCTTTCCAACCAATATCTTATATGCATTCCCAATCTCCACCATTCGTGCTAAATACCCTGCCCACATCGTTCTCCTTGACTTGATCATTCTAATTATACTTGGAAATAAAAGTTATGAAGCTCCTCATAATGTAGATTTCTCCAACCTCCTGTCATTTCATCCCTCTTCGGTCCAAATATTCTCCTCAACACCCTGTTCTAAAACACTCTCAGTCTGTATTCCTCCTTTAATATCAGAGCCCAAGTTTCACACCCATACAGAACCACAGGCAAAATTATAGTTTTATATATTCTAATTTTTATGTTTTTGAACAACAGACGAGAAGGCAAAAGGTTCTGGATTGAATGGTAGTAAGCATTACCCGAGTTCAATCTCCTCTTAATTTCTTCCTGAATCAGGTTCTGATTTGTTAACGTTGTTCCCAAATATCTGAACTGTGCCACATTCTCAAAACATCTGTTTCCTATAGTTATGCCAGATTTTGCCCTGCATTGTTGAGGAACCAGCAACATATACTTAGTTTACTCTGTGTTTACTTCTAGACCAACCTCCTTACTTGTGTCAATTAAAGTTTGTGTGTTTTTCTTTATGGAATCTATATTATCACCCAGTAGAGTCATTTCATCACCATAGATGAACAGCTGATGTGTCCTGTTTAATTTCAGTCCCACCTGGCTTACCTGGACCTTCCTAATTGCATATTTTAAGGCAAAGTTGAAAAGGATTGGAAATAAAAATTCTCCTTGTTTTAGACCATTCTGGATAGGAAATTTATCAGTCAAATGTTTACCTACATGAACTTTACTGTAATTTTCGTTTAAACACATTTAATCAGCTTAACTAGTTTCATGGGTATCCCGAACTCTATCAGAATATTGTACAATACAGTACTTCCCTCCTAACTGAATCATAGGCTTTCTTGAAGTCTACAAATAGCTGATGTACTCTTTCATTGTACTCCCATTTTTTCTCCAATGTCTGATGAATGCAAAAGATCTGATCAGTAGTTGATCTGTTACATCAAAATCCACATTGATGATCCCCAATAATTTCATCTATGTATGGACTTAACCTTGAGAGAAGAATATTGGATAAAATTTTGTATGAAGTTGATAGAAGTGATATCCCCCAATAATTACTATAGTCAGTTTTATCACCCTTCTTGTGAACTGGTACAATAATAGACTCCTTCCACTGATCAGGCAATTTATCTGATGCCAAATAGAAGTAATTAGCTTATGGATCTTAGAACCTAATATTTCGCTTCATGCTTGGACAATTTCTACCGGAATTTGATCACTACCTTTCGATTTCCACCATTCCAATTTTGCAATAGCAATTTCAACCTCATTGCCCATTGTTACTTGCTATAAAATTTTTATGAAATTTTAAAAAAGCTATAAGAGTATTTCATGAATTTGAGTTTGTAGGTTTAATAAAATATACCAGAGTGTGTGGTTCTTGTGGGAAAGCCAGAAGGAAAGAGACCACTGGAAAGACCAAGGCATAGGTGGGTGGACAATATTAAAATGGATCTTAGAGAGATAGGATAGGATGGTATGGATTGGATTGATCTGGCTCAGGATAGGGACCAGGTGAGGGCTCTTGGGAACATGGTAATGGACCTTTGTTTTCCATAAAATGCTGGGATTTTCTTGAGTAGCTGCAGAATTGGTGGCTCCTCCAGAAGGGCTCAGCTCCATGAGTAAGTAAGTGGGATTCTTGTATTCTTACTTTTATCGACTGTTATATTCCACTTTGTAAGTAAAGAAACATGTTAAATTGAATGTAAAGGAAATTTATTTCTGACCTCATTTAGAAGCTAGTTGTAAATGAAGTGAAATATATTGAAATGCTGGCCTGTCAGAATGTATTACATTTCTTAATATTCATGTGTTTTTCCTGTAGAGGCGCTACTGTACGAGATGCTGCCACGCTATGTGGCTGAACAGTTGAAGCGTGGAAACAAGGTGGAAGCAGAGAGCTTTGACTGTGTGACCATCTACTTCAGTGACATAGTAGGATTTACAACCATGTCAGCCGAGAGCACACCATTACAGGTGCGACTGCCACCTTATGTTCACGTCTAACATAGTGTCACTTTCTTTATATGCTACCTTTGTCTACCTCATAAGTGGGGGTTATACCTGTCAATCAGCCTCTTCACATCATCTCGGACACTATGCAAATGATTTCATCGATCCACAAATTATATCCAATGACTGACATCAGATCTACATAATGGACTCAGCTGTGTAGGTGCCTCACTACTCTTTTCCCTGAGAATGGAAATGAATTCATCTTCGAAAACATTGTGTTTTTTTAAGAATCTTATATGGTGGACAACGTGCAGAAATTCTGTAATTGGAAGTGTAAAACATCATCATCAGAACCGTTTTGACTTTATTCTGATTATTAGAATGATATTTTGTTTATTTATATATGGTTAATACAATCCCCAATTTTACATAAGACTGAAATGGAAATGTATTTCTTTATCTTAGAAACTGATCATGGAACAAAATACTGGTATGCCCTGGAAGAGCATTATTCTAATCTGAAATATGCCAGCAGAGTATGATGTATTGAAGAGAATGATGAAGATAATACAGTTCATATCATATGACAACTGTACCACAGAAGCACATTGCTTTCAGATCTGTGTATTATGGCTGGAATTCATAATTGCTTCGCTTAGATCTGGCTCAGGACAGGGTCCCATGACAGACTCTTGTGAACATGGTAATGAAGCTTTGGGTTCCATAAATGTCAAGAAATTCTTGAGTAGCTGAGTGACTGATGGTTTCTCTAGGAGGATTTAGTTACTCAGCGAGCCAGTCAGTAAGTTACTTAAAGGAATTATAATACCACTTTTCTTTTCCACATAACAAAATTTTGTAACTCTGTAGATTGCTCTCCTAGTTAACCCTAAAATTCTCTAATTTTAGTTGCCATGTTTCACCAGTCAGAAGCAATTCTGTAATGACTGTAGAAGTAAGGTTACATGAAAAGTAAACACCACATCATACTTGATAGTTCTGAATGTATGTTGCTTTGTTTGGGTTGCACATGACATGCAATATTGATCACGATGTGTGTTACTTGAATATTAGAGAAATATTTCTACATTGTGTGTACTTTATCAACTATAATGAACAATAATTTTGCAATAGTCAATCTGTATCTACAAGACCTTAACATCAATACAGTTTGGGAAATTGATGTATTGCAGAGTGCATTTTTTATCTTATTGTTAGTGCTGGCTGACTAACAATAGGCAAGTCTTGAGTAGCAGTACATCCTTATATTGTTGGGCACTATACACTACCTGAAATATATTTATATAGATGCACACAGAGTTTCAGAAATCCCTGTACTCATGACTTCAGATGTAAACTTGTAAGGACACTATATAGGAACAAAGGAAAACCGGTTGCTTAAAGAGAGGAATAGACATGAACTTCTAAGTGTAGTTTATGCTAACTGGAGCTCAATCAATTGTACACTTTCCACAATATAAGAGGTTCAGTAACTCAACAACTGTCATTGGTCTTTAGAGACTCATTCACTGTTGCAGGTTGTGGACTTTCTCAATGATCTCTACACTTGTTTCGACTCCATCATCGAGAATTATGATGTGTACAAAGTGGAAACAATTGGGGATGCCTACATGGTGGTGAGTGGATGGCCTTGTTTCGATAGATGCTCCTCTTATCAATGTCTTATTCATACAGAGTTACACAAGTAGCTCTACATATTTATTGCACTAACAGTAAGGTTACATGTGGTCAAAAATGGCATTGAAAGGCTATTCTGTAAGAGGCTGAATATGATACATATGAAGGTACCTTCCTACTGTCTCAGAGATTATACTGATAAACTTCCAGATTATTTAACATTGAAAAATTATTAAAAATGAGTATAAAGACCTGTTGATCTGTCAGGCTTTCAACCCATTGTCTTGAGCATTGGCACATAGTTAACTTTGTCATACTGTCAAATATCCAGTCCACTTGGAGTCTGAGATTATTTGCTCTTTGTATTCACATGCCAAAGCATCATATGACTGGTTGTGAATAACATATAGAGGGGGGAGCTTCCTCATGTTGATGTCAATATCTTAACCATATAGCCCCAAATGATAAAGTGATAGATTTATGATGAATTGTAATTGATTTGGAAGTAAGTGGTCATGACTTAATCAAGATATTGTATTGGCATTTAAATGGAGGATCTGAGGAAATCCATGAAAAGCCTCGATAAGAATAGCCACTTTCCCAGCTGGCACCTCCTGAATATGAGTCAGTTTGAGACATTATATTTCAGTGTCATACTGTGTGTGTTAAATTTCTTTATTTTATTCTGTCACCACAATAAGAAACATGGATACTCGTACACCATATGTTCGTCGTTTCTTACAACACGTTTCTGCTCACTGAACCATCAACAGGTATTTGACTTGTTTGCATACACCTCTATGAGTCTGGATAGAGTAATTGGGATAGCGACTGGCTATGGGCTGGATGACCAAGGGGTCGGAGTTCGAGTCCCGCTAAGGTCAAGAATTTTCTCTTCCCCACATCGTCCAGACCAGCTCTGGGGTCCACCCAACCTCTTATCCAGTGGGTGTCAGGGGTTCTTTCCCCGAGTGTAAAACGACCGAAGCGTGAAGCTGGGCACTCACCTCCAGCTACTGCCGAGGTCAAGAAAATGTGGATGTATATATCCATTCCCCCATACGCCTTCATGGGGTAGTGCTTAATTAGTTAAACACAGGGACAACTTCATCTTTACATACACCTGTGTTGGAGCCTCCCATCGTGAAGCAAGCGCTACCCAATCAGCGAACACCTCGGCAGCTCCAACGGCCATTGGTTAGCGGGCCGCCTAGCGACAAAAGTATAAAGATGCGGACGTCCGACACGCTAGCATCGATTGAGTGTGAGTTCGAGGTTAGAGTGATCATTGACTCAGAGGTTAGCTTGTTATCGGTTGAGTGTGAGTTCGAGGTGTGTGCATCGGTTGTAGCTGGACAGTGAGGAGAGGAGTCTCTGATATGTGGAGAGCATTTATCTAGGAGAGTGAGTGTGATGCGTTGATGTGCTTCAATCTGTAGGTGTGAGTTGGAGAGACCTATCGAAGTTAAATTCTTCATTGTCGATAGTGGATTCTTCTAAAACTGACTGAAGTGAGTGAACACGCGATAAGAACAGTGATGCCAAATATGGCTGCCATCTCAATGCCGGGATATCGGGCGCATTAGACCAAAAACGACACTCCAGCTTTGGTAGGTGACAGTGAGCGATGGTCATCCATCGTCAGTGCGACCGACGAAAACGACCAGAACTGCTGCAAGGCCCTAAGAGGGAAGACCCTGTTTAGTGCCCTGTATGGCGCATATACAGTCGCATTGCAGAAGTTAAAAGCATGCTGAAGGCAAGCACCCAAGCTGCTCCGTCTGAGGCACTTAAGTCCTCTTCCACCCAGGAGAACTGTTTCAAAGAAGTCCAGCGGCGCAAGCGGCACAGTACCAACGAGGCCGCCCCGACCTCGAAGAAAACAGTATCTGTCGCTGAAGTCACGACCCCCAAGGAAGTTGCCACCCGCAACTTCTTCGCCTCCATGAAGACGTCCATGGAGGCGGAGAATACCGGCGTAGAGGCCGCGATACCTGAGGAGACAGTCTCTGGCAAAGCAGGTAGGCCGCCTCCAATAATATTGACATCAGCAGTAAACCTCATCCAGTTGCAGAAGCAACTGAAAGATGAGGCCAAAGGCGACTTCGAGTTCCACAGCACAAGGAACAGGGAACCAGAGTCGCTGCGAAAGACGTGGCGGATTTTGAAGCCGCCAAGATGCACTTCAGCAACAATAGCCAATCCTAATATTCCCTTTTTCCCAAATCTCAAAAGCCTGTTAAGGCAGTAATTCGACACCTCCTTATCAATACCCCTGTTCAGGATATTTCAGAAGGTCTGGAAAACCTGGGCTTTGACGTTGTTGGCGTCAGGCAAATGACAACAACCCGCCGATCCCCACCCAAAGAAGCAAAAACAAGGAACCGCCCCTTGTACCTCATAACCTTGTCCCGGACGGCAAAATCGCAAGAAATCTTCAATCGGCCAAGCCTTTCCACATATCCATCAAGATGGAGGCTTATAGGGCCCAGACTGGACTTACTCAATGTCATAACTGCCAACAGTTTGGGGACGTCTGGGCTAACTGTAAACAAACTCCCCTCTGTTTGTGGTGTGGAGGCGGCCACCTGCATAAGGAATACCCAGAGAAGGGAAACGCTGTTTCCACTCCATCATGCTACAACTGCCGGTTGGCAGAGGGAAGCAAGTCACATCCCGCCCAACTATCGTGGTTGCAGACACGCCAGGGAAGAGCTGCTAAAAGGAGGGCGCAGAGAACGCTCAAAACTACTACAGAGAGGGTGTTCTCATCAAACCTCGTCACCCCAGGCGTCTCCTTCGCGGCGGCACTCCGAGGCAGCACAGAGCAACAAAAGCGACCACAGGCAAACCCCGCTCCGTTGGTTTACCAACCCACAACAAAACAACAAAATGTACCGGCCCCTGCACTGCAGAAAGAAACAGGTCAATCAGTTTAGGCTCCTCATGCAAATAGTCAACCTCTCGACAATATGTTGAGAGTAATGACTGTAGTACAGCAGATCATGACAGAGTTCAATGGTGCAGTGTCTGAGGAGGACAAAATAGTGGCTATAACAGAAATTGTATTAAATTTGATGAAAAAAATGGCCATTAGAGTTCATAGACCTCTCAAAGTCATAGCATTTAATTCGAACGGCATTTGGAGGCAGCGCTATGAGCTCAGTAAACAGCTGCAAGACCTACACGTAGAAGTGGCTTCAGAAACACGTCTGAAACCTCATGAGAGATTCTTTCTTCCAAATTACCAGTTATATAGAACCGACCGCCACTCAGGCAGAAAAGGCGGAACTGCCGTTGCAGTTAGAAATGCATCCCCCATAACCATGTAGACCTACTACCCCATGTTTCAATAGAAGCGTACCAATTCGTAACAGTCAAGTACTGCTTGCAGCTGTTTATAAAACCCCAGGCAGGGCCTGGAGTGATGCTGACATCACTGAGCTCTTAAGCTTTAGACGTGAGTCTATTTTGGCAGGTGATTTGAATTAGTTTGGCATGAGTTAATTCGAACTTTCAGCACTACAGTGCCCTGCTCATTATTCCCCTACGGGAAATGGTGACATGCTGGACATTGTGGTCCATCAGAATGTCAGATCACCTACTAATATTATTCCACATACTGGATCATGTTAAAATTAAGAATCTTTCGGAACATATTGAAAAATTCGCAGATTGGGAGCGGTTTCAAAGCTTCGCCTCTGAGTTAATATCACCTAAAATATAAATTAAATCGAGGGTGGGAGCCAATAAAGCGGCGCATAGCCCCTCAACCACTACGCTACCGCTTGCCCCCGAGGGATTGGGTGGCAGAAG